GATTGTTTCTTTCTCTCTCTCTCTCTCTCTCTCTCTCTCTCTCTCTCTCTCTCTCCATATATACACATCAAAAGATATAAAAATATTTATAAAATACAGAATAATAATGAGTAATTCAATGGATTCAATGCAATAAAAATTCAATAATTTCAACATTGCTAAAAATATTTATTTTTCCGTACCAATCTAATTTTCATCATGCACGTGCTTAATTACGATTACCATATATATTTCCTGTTAATCACATTACATTTTAAAGAAAATCGATACCGAGCGCAGGCTTGCTTCAATTTGTGGTGCTTGCCTATCAATCAATCATATCATAATCTCCATTTCAAAACTGTAATCCGTGTTACATGGACTAACGAATGAAATCGATGGCATAAACGAAAATACTTGAATTAGTTTATATATTTATCAATGATCGAATTTGGCTCATTCTAAAGTGCGCACGCCTCGAAATAGATATAGTTATAGCATTAATTGCCGCGAGCACCGCGCTTCATTACTGAAGGAATTAATTTCAACTCTAAGCGAGAGAGCGAATGCTAATGTCATTGTATTATTTCAGGGCGGTCGCGATCAATCTTCAATTAAAAGTTGATAATTCTCAGTACAATGCTTCGATTGTTTATCTTTCTCTTTGCGTTTTTATTTTCAAATCTGAAATTCTATTTACAAATTGCAGCGGAATATTGCCTAGTTCCGTCCTCGTTTCTCCGTTCCTTGTTTCATGTGTATATTCAGTTGCGGGAACTCCGCTGAAACTATTTATTATTAAAACGTACACATAAGCGAAAACACGGTGAGCGAGGAGAGCGCATTTTTCTATTTTCCCGACCGTTCGTATCGACCAAGTCGTTCTTTTTTGGGCCGAGGCCAAAGCATGATGTACCTTTTGCCTCCGTTTATTCAGAATTCTCCTCTATATTCCCAGGATATCGTAATAAGAGTGCATATGCAAAACTTTTAGTTAAAGTACGAACTATCGACATTTATTTTGTAAAA